TCTCAATCGAAACTAAAACTGAGGAGAAAACGGAGAAATAAAATCGAAAAAATCTATGCTAATTAAGATCAGATATCAAAACACCGTCACGGTCATGATTTCCTTTGTTTAAACTTGATGAATTATTAATGAACTTGAGAAAGTCAGTGTAAAAAGTATTGAAACTGTTCACCCAGATATTGAACCGAACTCCATTGCTTTGTTTTGCTTAATTACATAAACTTCTAGTCAATAAGTAATCGAATGACAGCATGCAGTGTACAACAGAGACTGCTTTAACTGGCTTTCCCTTTTTACATCACTAAACATAAGATCCGATTGTTAAATAGTTGTTGATTTTATTTCTTTATCTATCCAGTGTAACATCTTGCTTATCTTAGTTGATTATGTATTTATTGAGCAAGCCCAATTTCCACTGATATCTAAACAGCTCTGTTCGCGTCACTAGTCATCATTTAATTTGATATTGACTGAGAGAACGTATTCGATCTTCGCAAATTTCTGGCACATCACAGATATCCTTCGCTAACAGAAGTAATTTTGCATTCATGCACAATCTCTTGACAATAATCATGTCAAGGACACTCAAGGTCACGGGTAATCATGCCATGTATGACCGTGGTGCATGATTTCTAAGGGGAATCATGTCAAGTTCGCCGGCTTTGTGTTGCCTGCTGTCAATGAAGAAGCAAAATTCTTTGTAAGACGTGCTACCGACAGATCGAAAAATTCGAAGCGACTGTCAAAGAAGTCGCAAATTTAAACTGAGAATATTACAAAAAGAATCTTGTCTGTTGGAAAGTAAAAGCTACAAACAGTGAAAGTACGCATTCAAAATGCTGTTTCAGCTCGTCTGGTACACCGGCGTCGGGAACATTGTGTAGTGTGTAGTTCAAGAGCCCAGGAATTTTTTGTTCAAGTTTCAAGTTTCTTTATTTCAACATCATCATCATCATCATCATCATCATCATCATCATCATCATCATTTTATTTCTTGATAAAATCTACATTTTACAGTTGGACTGGCCCGCGAACAGCTATGCTAGTCTAGGCGCGTCATTCTATCAATAGATACAAATTATTTATTATTATTATTACTTTTATTACTATTATGGAAAAATAAAAAGTTAATAAAAAAGTGAATAAAATAAAAAAAGAAAAAGTGGGAAAAGAATATGATTTAATAGATAACATATTTTTTGTTTGTTTGTTTGATTGTTGGTTGTTTTTTTCTTTTTACAAATGCTACTGACAGTTTAATTTAGAGATGATCCTACGAACCTCAATGAAGGAATCTTCATCTTCGCGTACACTTAGTAGTTTGTTTTTAATTCTGAGTTTGAATGATTTCTTTGGTAGTTCTCTCAGAGAGCTTGGTATCTCATTCCATAGTTTAGCACCAATTCTTGAAAGGGCGTTTTTTTTGTATTTCAAGTCTTAAAGCTTTATTTAAATAATGATTTGAAATAAAAAATAATTTAATAGGAATTAATTGAAATTCACTCACGGGAAGATATGAACTCAATTAATTGACCTCGCTCCCAATGTGTGGCTTCATAGCTCAGTTGGTAGAGCATCGCACCGGTATCGCGGAGGNNGGCTTCTTCTTTCCAGTTGCTTAAATTGGAAAATTTACTGCGATGATCATACTTCACTTTCATCTACTACCGCAGTTCAAATATGAATTATTTCATGTACACTTCACAACACATTATCTCCTGTCTTACTTTTTTCCGGCTCAATATCGTAAAAGCTCCCGCTGAGGGAATATTGAGGCTGTGCAACCTTAGAAGTACTAAAACCCTTTTTTAATCGTAAAAATTACGACGAGCGCAAGTGTCTTTTTCTATGGGGGTCGCCAGTCCCCAGAGGATAATCACGCTAGCCTTTGCTCAAACAACGGATATTTTCTAGATAGACATTCTCGGTCTCGTTTTCCACCCTTAATAGGATTCTCATTGCTTAGAGGGTAGGAAGTGTATTAAACAATTTCACCATGTCAAGCAAAATTTGCTTTCACTGAGTTTTATTCGTTTTAACATTATCCGGTAAGATAAGAGAACCTCCCAGCGGATTGGGGGACATGAGATATTTCTGGGGTTAGTTTGGGGGAGAAAGTAATACTTTCCATTTTAATTAGCTTGAGGAAACTTAACAAAACGAATGTGGTATAGCGTGGTCTGTACTCCTATCGACAACGATACGCGTATCGTTGTCGATAAGAGTACAGACCAGGCTAAACCACATTTCGATTTTTTTTTTTACCACAATATCAACGTCAAAGAAAATGCTTTTCAGAGCGCGAGCTGAAAAAGGCATTGCGTGACACATTGGTTTAGCGTGGTCTGTACTCTTATTGACAACGATACGCGTATCGTTGTCGATAAGAGTCCAGACCACGCTAAACCACATTTCGATTTTTTTTTTTACCACAATATCAACGTCAAAGAAAATGTTTTTCAGTGCACGAGCTGAAAAAAGCAATGCACGACACATTGACGCGAGCAGCGTTGTCTGGACTCTTATCGACAACGGTAAATTAGCCAATCAGATTGCGAGATTAGTAGCAATTGTGGTAAAAAAAGATAGTTGTCGGATTGATTAATAGTAGGTACTCTTAAAGGGGACTTTCGGAAAAAGGTAAGTCAGAAACAGTGGAATTTATCAATGCAGAAAAGGGAGAAACTCCGAAGAATTCTTAGATGATATGTATTCCCACTGGGAGGCCCTCAAATAAGGTAATGATCTCGTTTTTGAAATGTTTTGTTGACAGGATAAAAAGTGAAGGAATTAGTTTTAAAATTTTTTTAGGTGTTGTTTAGTGGAGTCAAAGGAAGAAGTGTCAGTTCTTTTTGTGTTTTCTGGCTCTGCGACGTCTATTTGCCAATTGTTTGGAAGCTTTCTTCGTTCCAGCTCGGCTAGGTTGATCATCCCGATTGTGGCAAAAAGTGTAGAGCCATGGGATATTGGTGAAACAATACGATCAAACTACGCAATATATGTTAGAGGTGGGGATGTCTGGGGAGGGGGGGGGGGGGGGGGG